GCGTCACACGATTGCTGGGTTAGCTCAGCGCACAGACAACAATGGATAATTTATTAAATTCAATTTACAAAAGATGTCCAAAAATAACTTGCATTTTGGATACTTTATTTATATTTGAATTCAATTTTTAAACATAAAGATTCCGAAACGTGAGGTCAAGAGAAAAATATTGACGGCCTGCCTATGTTCTATGGGGTAAACTGCGACCTTTGTGGCGCCTCATTCTCCATGCAATTGGCTTCTCGTCTTCATGTGTAAGGGTACCCACACAGTGAAAGCAGGTTGCTAGCGTGCTGGTTACCTGCTGAGGCTGGCGCCTGAAATTGAAATAAATAGGCCTGGCGCTGGCCTATTCGTACAGGTTTTCATTGTGAACACTTACATCATTATCCTGTGTTCATTCTTGTGGCAGGTTGGAGCAGGTTGCCCGCACGGGCAAACCTACTTTCACTGTGTGGGCACCCTTACGGTCGATGCCGTAGCTTATTCCTCTGTATCGCAGCTCTGTATTACCACCCCGTATACAAGATACGTTATCTGAACTTATGTGTCTTACTTATCCCTCACTGCCTTAGTCGAAGAACCCGATCCTCAGGTAGAGCTTAATATAATGAGTTCAATATCATAGATTGTAGTTGATTTACAACCTGTGACATGTGGTGAGTTGTGGTGGTGTGGCAGGGTGGCGACGTACGTGGTGGCGCGCGGCGCGTGGTACGACAACACGAAGCAGCGCGCGCAGGTGGCGGACGGCGCGGCGCTCTTCGCGCGCGTGCGCGACGCCGTCGCCGCCGCGGGGCTCACGGGCGTCCAGAAGCTCCTCGCCTGCCACGTCGCCGGCGCTCTCAAGGTCAGCGGCCTGCCTTATCTTATAGTCAATGTCAGGAGACTCTTGTGTTATTTCTTAACTATTTCTCTTGTGTTATTTCTTAACTATTTCTCTTGTGTTATTTCTTAACCATGCCGCTAATTTTCTACGAGTCGCTTCCTTTACCAAAATGTACGGGACCGCACGCATCACGCAGCCTGTCACAGACACGACGGCTGAACCTGCAGGCTGCTGGACCTGCCGCAGCTAGCCTGCATCTGCGGTCGCAGCAGTAATAATGATCCCGACTAGCTGGTGGCTTCTAGCGTGCAGTGATAGTAATGATAGTCTGAGGCTCGCTGCCATAGCTGCCTCTAGCGTGCAGTGATAGTAATGATAGTCTGAGGTGCCAGAATGAACAAAAAGGCATATGAGAACAAATGATAGCATCAATTAGTGAACGATCGATATTCATCGTTCACACTCCCCTACACCAGATAAAACAAAATATTTGGTCGCTATCCAATCTGGCTGCAATTACAGGGTACAATATACAATTAAAAGGCTCGCAACATTTCACAATCATTAACTAGGTATGCTAAAATAGAACTTTATTAAATTTGAACTTGCTAAAATCGTACTTAAATAACTACTTATATCTAAAACATAGGATTTGTTTATTATGCTTTAATCTCCTTTAATCTGGTAGTATTCCTAAGTACAAGAATATTGCATTAGCATTGAAAAATGCAAACATAATAATTACTAAAAAATTGAATCCTACAATTCTTCGTCTTCCGTATTCCATCGATCAGACAGAATTCATTTCTCGATCGAGGTAATCTGAAAGATCAGGGCCCTCAGAAACTGAGCTTCTGGCCAGTACATGGAATTCGTCCGGCAACACGAAGTCTTCCGCAGCTCCCGTAGGGTACCCTCGTCTCGGCTCGAACTTTCATGAAGTTTCGGCTCCCGAGAATTCGTCGCTTGCCCTGCTGCTGTTCAGTACCAGCGCCTTCACAAACGACTCAGTTGCACGTCTCAGGCACGACCGTGTCTGCCTCGGCGGCGCTTTGTTGCGTTCAACGATGTCAGGCTGCAAACTAGACGATGGCTCCACGAAATCCGGCGGTGCTTCGCCAGTCAGTAGTGGATCGTCTGCCACTTCGTCTGTCTGCTCACTCAGGTCTTCCCACTCCATGCTCGGCTGGTCGATGCTCTCATCACCAGCGGGCTGCCCAGCAACCTCGAAGTCTTCAGCCCGAGTTGCCAATTCCGCCTGACTCTTAGCAAGCGCTGCCGCTATTTTGTCGGCCAATCCCGATAAAGAGATTGTCACTCCGCCAATTGCCGTCGTGTCGCACCCAAACGTCTCGTATGGGTGAACCATCTCGATTGGGTCTCGTCGCTCGCTCATGTTCAATGCTCGTGCCCTGGTAGTTAGCTCGTAGCAGTTTTTGGCCATGCTATCCTGGAGCGAAGGGTCGATCTCCGCAGATTCTCCACAATCGCCATGCCACCTTCAGCTGGTTATAGTGCACCGTCTGCAAACCTCTTCCGTTGGGTCTTGTGATGTTGTAGGTTATCCCATTAGGATCTGCTTCTATGATGATAAAAGGGCCTGTGAATTTCGGAGAAAACTTCGTGTTAGAAGGTAACGGAGGAACTCTTCGAGCAACCTTCTGACCAACCACGTAAGGCCTGAATGATTTTTGTGGAGGTCGCCAGTAAGGTTCGCAAAACGGAATAGGTAATTTATTAGCATTGTTGGTGAAAAAGTCGGCTGGAGTGTGTCCTGTCTCTGAATGGATCGTGTGATTATAAATTATTAAAGTTCTCGTCAGATGCTCCGTCCAAGGGGTTTTGTATTCCTCACAAGCAATTGCCAGTAGGTTCTTGAGCGTGGAGTTCAGGCGCTCGACCGCCCCGTTACAATTGGGTGCATAAGGCACCGTTCGGAAATGTTTCACCCCATGCCTGTTTAGCATAGCCTCGAACGGCCTCCCCCTGAATTCGGGTCCGTTGTCCGAAGTAACCGTCACGGGCAACTTCACCAGAGAGCTGAAGATACGTTCTTCGAGAGCTTTCGCCACCGTGGCCGACCGCTTGTTCTTCAAGGGCACAGCGTTGGCGAACTTTGTGTAGGTATCAATACCTACCAATAGATACTTAACCTTGCCTCGGCCAGGAGGAAGCTCCAACAAGTCGACAGCATAATCTTCATAGGGGGCTCTTGGGACCCGTCTGTAGAGAGGCGCGCCACCTCTCGCTCGACCCTTGAACCTTTGACACACTGAACACCGTTTGATGACGTACGCTACAATTGTTGAGAGTCTGGGGTTGTAAAAGTAACGTGAGATCGCATCCAAGGTTTTATCCCGACCAACATGTCCAGATGCTCTATGAAAGTCCGCCACTAACTGCGGCAAGCATCTAGCCGGAATAACCGGAACACCATACTCGCCGGCATGAAGCACTTCATCCTTCACATGAATAGACTTCAACGTTTTTGCGAACTTATGTCTATTCCGGAGCGTTTTTAATTTAATTAAAATATCTTCGGCTGTAGATTTGTTTTCATGAAGTTCCTTTATTAATGAAATGCATCGGTCTTCATTTTGCAGTTTCAAAATTTGCTCTTTAGTCAGATGTAAGGGCAGATCTTCGGATTTAGGCCCGAAAGAATCTTCCTCGTCACCCTCTTTACGGTTGTCGTTTGCTTCCAATTTCGTCGACTTTCGTTTCAAAACTTTCATTTTTCTCAAAGAATTTTTATCGGACTTTTTGGGCTCGTCATCGACCAAATGGTACAGCACTGCAGACTGCTCCGTCTCCTCTCGTGATGGCTCAGATGCTCTCGCTCTCACCAGGTCGATGTGTCGGATAATCAGCTCATCCGCGTCCTCGCCGTCTGGTAAGATCAAATTAAAGTGGCATCCGCGAAGACTCTGTAAATGGATGGCGGGATTATTACCATTGTTACCATTACTCGCACATCCAACAACACCAACACCATCTTCGTGAACGAAGACATCAGTTTTAAATTCTTTCACGAATGCTTCCAGTAAACACCAGTCTGGCATGACACCGCCTTGCCTCATAGTCTCAATTCTTTTCAAGTCACGTTTAGATTTGCCAAGTCCATACTCGCTAGGATGTTTGAAAACTCTAGCTACCACAGCTTCTCTAATAGTCTGATGCTCCTCCATTGAACCACACAAACCAAGAGCTAACGCTTGGAACATTGAATCTGGCCCACCAGGAACTAATCTCAACTTTTCACCGCTCAAAGACACACATGGTAGACTGTTAAGCTGTTTATGCAGATTCGGGGTAATTGTTCGTAATAATATTGAAGGTAATTGGTTAATTTTGTTGGGTAAGATTTGGGGTAAATGGTTGTGGTAACCTATGATTTAAGCTGTTTATGGAAAGTGTGACGATAGGCTCCTTTTGCTATCTACTATTGTGTGTTTAAAACTTGTTTCTACCACGGTCCTTGTAATTTTTCGACAACTATGTTGGACCGGGTTATTTAGTCTTTAAGGTCGACGAACCTCTATTATTTCATCTACCAAGCCTATTATTCTGGAACTTGAACTAGTTCCTAATTTTGTTTCAAGCGCCGGCTTCCTCAAGCTTGTACCGGTCACCTTGTAATAAAGTCCATGAAAATAAAAAGTGTTTGTTTGTGTATCTAGGCCAACCAGTTCTCCAAGTGCTCCTCAAAGCTCTTAATGGTAACTATGACGTCATCACTGTAGCTAATCGCAAGACTACATAGAACGCCAGCTAGAACTAATAAAATTAGACGCATAAAAGATGCAGGACTATCTGTCAATAAAAACGACAATGAGCGTACCTTGTAGAAAACAGTTGTGTATTCTTTATTTGCATCGTCAGTTTCGATCTGATAAAATCCTTGCATTAAATCGAAAGTAGAAAATTATTCGGCTTTTCATAAACTACACAATTCATCGATCATATTCGGCAGCACGAAAGAGTCGCGTTTCGTAATTACATCGAGGGCGCGATAGTCGACACATAATCGCAAACTACCGTCCGTTTTACGAATGGGAACTAAGAGTGAAGCCCACGGAGAGTTAACGCTCAATATTGGCCTCCTTCTCTAACATTTGTAGCTCCAACTCCGTCTCGAGCCTCAATGGCCCCTGGAGCCGACGATACCGTTTGTTCGGCGGGTTCCCCTGACCATCTATCACACGCTCAGTTTTCAAGATCATCCTATTGCCGACGATATAGCACGACGTCTGTTGAGCATCTGCTTAACCCTCACAACTTGAGCAAGAGACAAGTCTCACTAGAAAGATCAAATAAATCAGCGGCGCGACACGAACTATATATAGTTACTTCACCCTCAACGACACAATTCACCAAATCACCACTAACCACAAATAGCCCTAATTTGGTCCTTCGTTTCAGAGTGTCCTCAATGGGATTCAAGTTCATAAGTTTTATCACATGCCCATTTTTCGCTCTTGTAGCCGAATAGGCTACTTCCAGATTAGCAACCTCATTACTCGTTTGGCATTTGCGTGATGCGTCGTACAATTTTTTAGGAGCCATGGCAGGTTGGATCAGTTAGGAGAAAGAACCTAACCAACAGAAAACGGGAGAAGTATACATGTTTTCGCGGCTTATGTTTACAATTAAATTCTCGCATTCCAAATAATTTTTTTCAGATTTGACCTTGCGACGTTTGTAGTTATTGTTACGTTGTAAGACGAGTTATTCTAAATATTGCTTACGAAAGTCTTTCACGTCTAAGTTTCAAATGCATTGCATATTTGGATAAAATCTACAAAAGGAAGTGGTACCACGAATCAATTGAATTAGTGTGTATAACTAGGGATAAAATTTCACTAGAGTATGGACTGAATGGTAATAGGCAACTCACCATCTGCTCTCAAAACCACCAAACAGAAACGCATGAAACCAGCAGAGCTTTATTTAACGCAACCACCAAACAGAAACCAGCAGAGCTTTGTTCAACTACTTTATTCGTCTTAGGCCATATAATAACTGATCAGTGAGCAATCATCATTCGCGTGCACTTGTTGCACTAAGCACTTTTGCTAAATGTTAACGTTTAGATTGAAGTTATTTCATAAAACGGTTATCTCACGGTTCCAGAAATGGCGGAAAAGCTCTTATCACGCCGTTCGAAATGTAATCTATATAATCCACGCTCACGCTGGGGGAAGTTCAAAAACATCAGAGGTGGAAATCAATGAAGTTAATTTTCAATAAGTCAAAAATATACCAGATTTAGGCAATAATACCAGATCAAAAATATCAATACCATACAGTCTCAAAATACCAGATTTGTGAAATCTGGTATGAAATAATACCAGTTGGCAAATGCCTTCCACAGCCTAGAATAGTTGTTCCGGAACACAGACAAGGTTCGGAAGGTTGAGAGGCATGTAGTCATATGACCGACCAATCCCCATGATGCAGAAGGATGGATATGGCGATATGCGTTGACATTGAGGCCGCCTTGTGCTCTTGGGAGAAGCGCACCCAGTCTGCACCCATCATTGACCTTGCCTCCGATTTGTAAGGTTACCATAGCCTCTAGTATGGTGGTGGTACAGTATGCGAGAAGAGGAATATCATCCTCACCTACAAGTGAGATGCCTGTTCCGAACTCGCCGCTAAATTTGGTATTGATCAAAGGCAGAGTTTTCTGTGACTCTGATCCAAGAAGGGTTGACTCAGTCTGACACCGTTGAAGTATGATATCTTCCCGTATTCTATGTAGGTCTTGAGGGCCCCATACACCTTTGAGTCCGACTCTCGAGTCCAATCCGGCTAACCTCAAAACACCCCAAATATGGCGCCGAACAAGCCGAGGTGAGAAAAATATAGGCGAGCCGATCCATGGCTTCCACTGCTTGCTGTGGGGCTCGGAGTCGGCAGTCGGGTCGAGTTTAGTTGCACTGCAGACGCCAAGCTAGCAGGATGTGTGCAGTCATGGCGGACTTCAAGCCTTGACTTCCTAACCAAGTTTATACATGAATGAGTACATCCATTTGCCGTGCTTGTGGAAGGTCGGTAGCGTAGAATATTCGAGCAACTTACATGAGATAAAATAAGGGAATATATCATTCGAATTACACGCAAAAAAAATTCCCAATGCAGACTTTACTTGGCTAAGAAAATAAATAATCCTTTAATTAATAGTTTTGATAATCGTTGCGTATGAAATTGAGCAAATTCATATTGACTGAATCTTTGTCGATTGACGACTAGCCATTCTTTTGACCACATAGATCTTTTCCTCCGTTGCTTTTTCACTGCCCCGAGCGCACTCAACACGACAGTATGGCCACGATGGCAGCAGCTGCAACATGCCTCGACGTGCTCATCTTCACGTCTGAGCGTTGCGAGCAAAGTACGTAGGTGTGGTGAAATATCACCGAATCAGATTCGCTCGCTAGTCAGAATCAGCTAGCCGGACTAGCAAGTCAGATGCGTTAGTGTATGGGACGCTTTATCCATGTAAGTTTCATCCATTTTAATGGGCAACGAAGCCAGCTCAGAGAATCTTGTTAGAGCTGCGCTGATTTTGGCTCGGAGGAACTCGTCGGTGTCACCCTGTCTCTTCTCAACAGTCAATAGCTGTTTGTCTCCTGATCCAATCAAATCGCATTCAAGACCCTCGATGTGCATCTGCGATGTGCAGAATGCTGCAAGCCGTGATCCCCTGAATAGGGTCCACAGGCGTTGATACATTCCCTCTCCATGGGTCTCCAATCTAACTAAACATGGCTCGAGGTCCTATATAAGGGAGACCTGTGGCCTTGCTCTGGCAGGGGATGTTCGTGGAGTCTTGGAAAAAGAACCAGGTGTCCTTGGGCATCTCAAGAATGGAGGTGTAGAAGCCTTTTAAGCCGAAGATTCGATCGAGTTCCCCCAGGCCAGGCTGTCTCTGAAGGCCAGGACACTTAGCCAATTGGTCATAACTCACAAGTTGCTTCCTCGTTCGAAATGGATTACACAAATTGACGCATAAGTGGAGAATTTAATCATGGGGGGGTTTACATTTCACTTCCATCTACGACTGTCCCGTAATGATGGAAGAATTTCTGCGTAACAGAAATGCGTAACTGCGCCCACTAGTTTGCCCGATCTAGAGCCTGCTGGCACGCTTGAGGAATTGGATGTACTTCTACTTCATAAACGAACTGTAAGAAGTTGTAACCAGAATTAGACACCACTCTTTTAAAGTCTAATAATAACCATTGAGTTACTCCTTATAATTTAGCAGAGATGAATGGTTGTGGAAGGCATACTATATTTTTTCCCCACACACGAGCCCCCTTCGTAATTTTAGGTCCTTATTCCTCCGACGTATAATATTGTATGTAAATGGTGCTTATTATTCTATTCTATTTTCAAGTTGCCATATTGAAGAAGCAAGAAGATGGCACTCTAATTGACACGATTCGCGCGACGTTGAAAAAACTCGTATAGGAGGGACCTTGCTGTGAAGTTCTCATTCACCGGGCTTAACTGTGAGCGCGTGAACACCAAGGTCTGCTTTAGAGAGCACAACGTATATTCGGTTCTAAAAAGTAAGTTGATGCCATGGTTACAATATTTTTTGTTTACTGACAAGCGAAGACCATATGATTTGCCAAGCTTGTGTGACTAATAAGGTCCTTCTATCTCTCACACAGGACCATAAATGCAGTTCACGAAACCGCCCTAGACGACTGAGCACTGAATTTGATCGACGTGCGCAGATCGAGTGCATGATTCCGTCGTGTGATGGGCTAACCCGCCCCCATCACATGCGGCGTCATTATCAGAATTCCCACCGTGTCAGCGCTGAGCACAGCTTAATTATGAACGGTCTCCGTCGCCGGCTCCAGGAGATAGAAAGAAGAGAGTAGACAGATACTCATCTATACAAGCTCACTGGAGCAGGCTGAACGTACAGAAAATCGCTTTCAAAATCGAATGGCAGCCTCAAGCACCATCGAGCGTCATTTGGGCTTGGTCCACCACTTTGCCACCTACGCAAACCACCTTGAACTAATAACAAAAACGAAGGAATGGAAACATATTATATGTGTGACTATGTCACAAGTTCAATATATTTATTGAAATAGGTAACTGGCACAAAGTAGGCGAAACCTATAGCACAGGCTCCGGTTGGTAGGAACTTCTCACAATCTACCAGCCCTCACAGCAACCTTATCAGTGAGTGCTGACAGCCGTGGCTGACTCTACCAGCCCTCACAGCAACATTATCAGTGAGTGCTGACAGCCGTGACTGACTCCAACAATCCCTTTAGCAACCGGGTATCTGCCGTAGCATTAAAGTATTAAATAGCACCATAGTAACTACACACATAGTTACTAACACATAATCTTATGACCTTATGATGAGTTTAATTAAGACTTCGTAGTCAACGGTCAAGCTGATGCTCCGCCTTCGACGTCCTCCGTCTCCGAGTCGTCGCTAGGCAGGTCACCCCGCCCTCGGGTCCCGGATGTAACGTTGGACGTGTTCCGTCTATTAGCCCTCCTTTGGGCCTTGTCACTATTTTGGAGGTCTCACTCTCAAAGTTGGGAGCCAGTCCGTTTATCATCTTCCAAGTGTACAGTATGATATACCTTTCCCTTCTTCTCTCCAGTGAGTACAGTTCCAGGTGTTTCAGCCTTCCCCAGTAGTTCAGGTTCAGCTCCCCTCATGCCGCTGATCCTGTACGTGAAGGTCCGCTGCACTGCCTCCAGTTTCCGCACCGCACCCGCCTTGAGTGGCGACCAAAGTTGGCAGCAATACTCAAGATTGGGGAGCACGAGAGCTCTGAAGAGTGTAATCATTGGTGCCGCTTCTCTCGTTCGAAATGTCCGCCAGATCCACCCCATCCGTTGTCTGCTTCGAGGAACTATTTCCTCGATGTGGTCATCGAACGTGGCTTCAGTACACATCAACACTCCAAGATCTCGAACTAATTGCTTCTTCTTAATTTGTGCCATCTCTGTATCTCATTATTTCGAACTTGAAGCCGTTGAATTGTACATTTTTCACTATGCCCTAATCGTGGATAGTCGACAAGTGATTGATGGCTGAATTCAACAAGCCGCGGCTGAAGTCGTAACAAGTCCTCATGTAACCTCTCGCAGTCTAGGTCGTCTATGATTCTCATCAGCACTCTTGTAACACACACAGTAACTTCACACACACAGTAACTTCACACACACAGTAACTACACACACACAGTAACTTCACACACAGCTGTATACATCTCACCTGACCTGCCATGCTCCCTGCAGGCGACCCTGAGCGGCAGTACGCCGCCTGGAGCAGTCGAGCTTCGCCCGCCTGCGGTGCCCTCGTCGCCCGTCTGCTGAGGATCGGTCAGCTGCAGCTGCTGCGCCTGCACGCCTCAGCGCGCCTCGCCGCCTCCAGCCTCTTTGAGGCGTCGCACCTGCGCGAGGCGCTCCATGCCCTCGACCTGTAACTATGTCATTTATCCACAATAAATTATTTTAGCGCCACGGTCGGTAGAGTCATTTAAATTATTGTGGCAACATTTAAATTATTGTGGCAACATTCTGGCAATATTTTACGGAACGGAGGCTACGGGCCATGCTGCAGCCCGGGAGAAGAGCTTAGCACGTCACCGATGAACGTCGAATTTAACCTTGTCTGTTCGTCGTATTGCTTTTTTAGTTTGAATCACTGCTGTAGCCTGTAAGTATTTTATTATTGCTGGACGCAGTATAACTCCTACATCTACTTATTTTTAGTTTAGTTATCTTATGTGCCGAAACTATGTATCATGTTCTTCGTTTACATCGTAAAGCATTACCACAATTCACGGTAGCCAAGAGCGTTAGTGTGATCTCTGAAGCATTTCATTTTAGCTTGTGCCAATCTTTATTTTATTATTAACGACTTTTCACTACACCTTCAGTATAGTCTTTATATTTTGTTACATTCAGCTTACAAAAACAATAAAGGAAATAGCACCACAAGTTCGTTTGTTAACTGCCTTGGCGACATAGCTTTTTACTGTAACTGCCATGACCTGTAACTGCTCTCGACCTGTAACTGGCCTCGGGAACAGCGCGTTTGTAGGTTCATATTTGTTCTGGTTAATAAAGCAGGGTTTCTGTATAAAGTCGCTGAGTTATATTTTGTCTTTGTCCTGATTTTTAAAATTTATCTATAGATTATTGTCTTTGTTTGGAAGATCCTTGATGGAGGACCTTCGCGAGCACCACAACGCTCCTGACGTTCTCGACCCCGAGGGCGCCCTTGTGCACGACCCTGACCCTGAGGGCGACCTGGTGCGCGAGCTGGGCGCTCTGCTGCCGTGGGTCGGCCTGACGCAGGCGCTGCAGGAGACCTACGCGACGGAGCCCTGCGAGACGGGCCCCCTTCTGCCGCACTGCCTCCTGCTGCTACTCCTGCACCTGCTGCCAAAACTGCGCTACAATGCAAAACTTGGTGCGACGACGTGCACGTTTCTTCACTATCTTATTAATGTTTACATTGATCATGTTCACTATCTTATTAATGTTTACATCAATCATGTTTCTCTACTATCTTATTAATGTTTACATCAATCATGTTTCTCTACTATCTTATTAATCTTTACATCATTACTTCAATCACGTTTGTTCACTATCGTATCAATAATTTCTCTCTCCGCACTATTTTTCACTTCGCCTCCTGATGCTACCACAAAGTAATATTTGATGAGCGGTAATCAACAATCTTGTTTCATGAAAAAGAACAATAATGCAGCCCTTAGTTCAGTTTTTAAATGTAACTGAAGGTTAATTCGCTGGCGTTAAGCTACTCTCGAAGATGGTTGCAAAGAACGCCTCCTAATTGACCCCTAAGCTGGTTACTAAGCACGTCCCTGGCGCCTTCAGGCCTCGTGGCGGCGCGCCCATCGGACGGCGTCGACGGCGCTGTGCTGTGCGTGGGCGTCGCTACGCTCTTGCGTCACGGCGCCCCTGACGCTTCTGCCTCCTTCTTGGGGCTCGTCGCCCAATATCTCGCGTCCCTCGTCCACCATCAGAGGTAGAGTGCACTATTGCTTTGCACTATACACCAATTATTATCTATCTCACTGAATTTATGCCACCATTTGTCGAAAATAATATTTTCGGCGCTAATCCGACTCGACAAGTTATTTTGAGCGACACCTTTTATTATATTCTGTGTGTCTGGGTCACTAGAATGTTTTTTCCGCTCTGAACTTGTTATTTATTTCAAATTTTTAAAAGTCAACTGACAAAATGTCACATATTATTACGCGTCGTCGCGTATATAAAAAAGAACAATGCAGAGAAAACCTCAATTTAAAATACTGTTCTATGAAGGAAAACATTGTTCGACGCCTTCCTGTGTTGCAGCAAAACTTCGGACGGTGTGAGCAATGAAGTAGCTACTGGCGCCGCCTTTCTGCACCTGCTTGCCCGCCTGCTGCAGGTGCCGCGTCAGCAGCTTACCGCCCTCCTGCCCGCCCAGCTCCACACAGCACCCTGTTAGTTCCTTCCTGCACCTGCTGCAGGTGCCGCGTCAGCCGGATAAAGCTTGCCAACGCCAGGTGTTGCAAGGTCGTTCCTCTCACCAGAGATGTGAACAGCTGCGTGCGCTGCTGTACCCTACGACCCGACAGGACTTGAGTCAGAGTGTCTATGTCTAGTTAACTTATTGTATTTTTATTTAACCTCTTGCTCTTGTGTGGCTCTTTGACGAGTGAAGCTAGAAATGTGACGCATGTATTTCAATAAGAGGCTAACACGAGAGGGATAAACGATGTAGACCCAGGAACACAACTAAACTAAGGGACGCGGTCACGCATATGTGTGCATCAAAGCTTAATGCGTCCATGAAACCACGGTACAATGTTACAGAACGGTCACACAAATGAATAGTGTTGAGTACCATGTGATTAATACATTCCAAAGATATTTTGATTATAGATTGTGTAAATGTAAATTACATAGTTCCAGTAGTTACCTACTATATGAACCTTAATTGTCACGATGTAACTTTGCTTGTATTGCGTAATCTTGTTGTTGCCTTTGTAATGAATTTTAATAAAGGATCAATATATATTCATAAGCACGAGTTTCCTTGTCAAACATCGTTTCCTGTCTGGCAACGCTTGCCTCCTTTGCTTATGAGTCGTGTTCGTAACAGTCATGAGAGTAGTTGCCAAGTCATGCGGCACTCCAACGTATGTAACAACTAACAAACTTTAATTTAGGATAGTAAAATACAAAATAAATTCTATATAATAGTAAAAAGAAGATACACAGTTCCTACGCCTATTTCTTGGGTTTCTTTTTGTCGGCTTCTTCTTCCTTCTCTTTCTCTATTTCAGCCACGATTTTCTCCAAACTGTCAATATCCAGGATCTGAAAAGAAAAGCAAGCGAATTATTCTAAATCGAGTAAACCCCATTATATGGATGAAAAAAGGTCTATCCACCGTAAGTGTAATTATCTAACTTTAATTGAAAGATATCACAGTAAGACCCAAGCCTCGCATGGGCAGCAATGAAGTCAACATGACTGGCGGACGTATGATAACGACGTATGGCAAGTGACAGCAATAGAAGTGCTCTCAACAAAAATAAACTGAAGGAAATACTTTCTCCATAACTCGAGGCCCTCAGTCGCTTGCAACAAGGACTTAGACTGGCGATACCCTACCGGGGCAGCGGTTCTCAGACTAAAGGGCATTTTAGGAATCAGAGTTTTAGTTTAGCTCCATAATGAAAATAAATAGGGTGACGAGAAGGAAAGTGGGTAACCATTGCCTTAGAACATGTGAGCCTTGCATTAGAGCACGCCTTACTCCATGGCTACGCCTGATCTCCATCGCTACATCACAGCAATCTGATCTCCATGGCTACAAGACGCCATACAAACCCTCATGGGCGTCTTGCGCCTCGCGTTAAGGCGCCCCTGCTAGGATCACATCCGCCATACAAACCCTCATCGGCGTCTTAAGCCTCGCGTTAGAGCGCCCCTACTAGGACGACATCCGCCATACAAACCCTCATCGGCGTCTTGTCTTCCATGATGGCGACCTCGACGTTCTTGGCTCCACTTTGTACGACTTCGAGCAGCGCCTTGACTGCCAGCTTTACGCTTAGGTCCAGGGTGGCCACGTTCTCAGGGCTGTACTGCTTCTCCAGGAACTCGCGCACAGTCTTCGCGCTGCGGCCCGTAGCGTTGGCCTGTTGGCAAATTAAACAGCAATGTTTAGTTCACGTTACAAAGTTAAACACTAATATTGTTACATGACTCATCAATGCATGCAATAAATATGCAGGAAGCGCATTCGGAAAAAATGAAATGAGGTAAGGGATGAAAGGAATCATGAGCTAGGTAACTTACAAGCCACTATATAAAGAGCCAAAAGGGTCAGTGACGTAAAGGTGAGGGGTGCGGTCAGGGTCAAAGCCTGCAACCTTCTAGCTGGGTAACTCACAAGCCACTCAGTATAGGTGCCGGAAGTCTCAGTGACGTAAAGGTGAGAAGTGCTCTCTGGGTCAAAGCCTGCAACTTACGAGCTGTGTAACTCACAAGCCACTCAGTATAGGTGCCGGAAGTCTCAGTGACGTAAAGGTGAGAAGTGCTCTCTGGGTCAAAGCCTGCAACCTTCTAGCTGGGTAACTCACAAGCCACTCAGTATAGGTGCCAGAAGGGTCAGTGACGTATAGGTGAGGGGTGCTGTCTGGGTCAAAGCCTGCAATGATGCATGATGTCCCGAATGGACGCCGTCCGTTGCTCTGCGTGTACTTCTGCTTTAGGCTTGCGATGAACCTGTGAAGTGATAAATACTACATAAGAACAACTGTCAACCAATACTTCTTTGTAAGCAAGAAAAAATACACAAAAAAATAGTTTGAACAGGATTCTAAACAAGTAACACAAGAACTACTTGGTGTCTGATCTCCATGGCTACAGCAGTCTGATCTCCATGGCTACAGCAGTCTGATCTCCTTGGCTACATCAAAAGGAAATGCACTTGTACATTGCACTTGTCTTACTAAGCCAAGAGTGAGTGGCATTGCTATTAGATTTTGTTCTTTATATCTCTTACAAGAACGTAACATTGAATGGGACTTCCCTGCAATAAGCAATAAATAAACACTTTGCATAAAATGCATTATGAAAATGTGCATAATTAGGTTTTCAACATGATCTTGCACAATTTCAAATACAACCATGATTTCAATTGTGATAAAAGGAAAAATTCATAATAAGAAGTGATACTGAACCTAGTAATGTATTCCAGCGTGACTGGGTCCTCCACAGTGAGCTTGTGAGACTGACATTCCACCCTGGCACGGTTTACCAAAATCCGAGCATCAGCAGTCAAACCTGCAAACAGCAATGGCAACAAGCTCAAACTACAACAAAGCAGCAAAATTGCATAAATCTTTACAATGTGCCAAATTAATAACACAACTAAAATCATCAACAAATGATAAGAAGATTTTTCAGGATCATGAACTAAGACTGAAGCACCAGATAATGAATAATTAAATCACAGGTAATTCTACCCAAGCTCTGTTGAGAAATCTCAGTATTTTGCCTTGTCTCTTCATGTGGAATTCAGAAGTGCCAGTAATCTCAAGTTCTATCAATCTAAGAGTTAGGAGGTTAGATTATTTAAGGGGTATGTATACTGACCAGCAAATGCCAGAACCACATGGTCATCCAGTAAGCAAATCTTGCGCACAGTTCTTTCCTCCTGCAGCTTAGGCACTGACTTCTTCTCCACTGCCAAGACAACAACTCCATTTCCTTTCACACCCACCTGTGAAAGTCAAGAAATGCATCATCATGAATCAACAGTACCGTCAAACAGGGTATTAACCCTTTCACGGGTAAGTTACCATATATGATCACTTGAAATCGCGTCACAAAAAGCCTCACCACGGCTTCCTGTTTGTTTTTGAGGCATCCTTATAATGCCTCAGTCAATCCCTAATTATCTGACCATCGTTCTATCTATAGCATCACTAGCTGCAAAGTCCACAAATTGAAATATGAGCATTTAAATGAAGGTTTTGACTCGGACAATGGAACTGACGCTCTTTCCGCATTTTCTTCAAAATTTGGAAGTATCATTATATATAGTTATTTATTTTGGCAACTTGATTAAATTTAATTAAATTAAATTTTCATGTTTCTAATTTTTCATTTGCATAAACTGAATTTTAATTATAAAGAAAAATTTTGTTTACTGATTGCATTTATTGAATTCTTCAAGTGCGATTTAAACCTTCAATAGGCAAAATTCGCAAAAATTCATATAAATATATTGTATAATACTTCTTACTTTCTTGAAATGGTTTCTGAAATTCTAATTTCTGGATATTTCAATGCTTGCCCGCTAAAGGGTTAAGGGACGGGTGGGGTAAATTGGGACAGTTGTTCCACATTTCATAGAAATGTTGTAGCAGCTAAACTAATCAAAATACCAGTATTGTGAAACTAAAAATAGTGGCTAAAGTTCAACATTTTTACTATCTATGTAGCATAAAACAAATCAAGAAATCATATACTTACTACCGTCAACTGGGGCTACTCGGGACAGTTTTGAACGTTTTTCATTCAAAACTTCTTACCATGAAACATTTCATAAACAAGTTTAGGCTCATTTCAAAGCTCTTTGCAAGGGTTATCACATGGCTTCTCCAAAAAAATTCCATATGCTATTCGTAAGCTGCCAGAAGCAAAAAAAGAGTGTCCCGAGTAGCCCCATCGAACGGGGCTACTCGGGATACTTGGAATAAAACTTCATTTTAAAACATTTGAAGCATGCAGAGTGTACTCGTACATTACTAACAGTATATATACTCTGAAGTCCTCCTCTTTTATTGTAGATGATGTAGAGGTAGAATAAATGGCATTTTCTGTGATTTTTACTTGTTTTTCCTTTATTGATATGATATTACCATATACATTAATTACCAGATTATTGATGCGATATTACCGTATCCATGAACATGCCATTGAGCATTTACAACAACCTTGTCCACTGCAAGCTTCATATCAGCAGCCTTATAGCATTTTTTCTGTATCTGTAAGCTTACAGGACGGCTTGTAATTTCACACTACTTTAATTGGGTTAAGTGAATTTACTATAAAAAAGATCGTAAAAAACATACCTGAAACAGAAAGGAATGTTTTAGTGACAACCATCATATGTTTTTCAGAAGTAAATCATAGTTTAGGTCAATTAATTTTCATTCTATGATGCCTGGAGCACAATTCTATATATGACATTCTATGCACAATTTTGTGATGACCGATGATGCACTACTTTTTTGATAAGTGAATTATTTTTGCTGAGCGAGGTAAATGTAATCAATATTCTTTGTTTTTAATCAATTTTTTCTCAACTGGAGCCTTTGCTGAGGTTCTACTGTAAATGCATTTTTGGGGGTGTCCTGAATAGCCCTGGGGGGGTGTCCCGAGTAGCCCCGCCATGCAGAAATGGCTGCCATTTTTTTTTGGAATTGAGGTAGGTATGTAAATTCCGCAAATAAAGTTTACATGCTGACACTTTTCTGCCACTTTTTTCAAAGTGAAATTTTTTAATACAGCAAATATTTTTTTTACTACAGACCTTAGCAGAAATAACTTTTCAAAATATCGTTTTTCACCATTTTTTCAGGAATTTTTCAAAGCTAGTAAATGTAGTATTTTTGAACTTCCTTTATATACCATACTGATGGGTCAATTTTAAGTTAAAAACATATAATGACAAAATCATTGCTGGTACTTCGTACTTATCTTTATTGAGGTAAAAAGCCTAATACGCGGGGCTGGCTTAACGCGCAGGTACTACATACTAGATAGGAAAAATGTTGACATTTACGCCATTATATTTAGTTTTGCAATATTTTAATTAGTTTTGCTACTAAAAGTTTTACGCCGTGTCGGAGGACTGTCCCAAGTTACCCCACCCGTCCCGAGTAGCCCCGTTTGACAGTACCTTTAAAAAAATCCCCCAAAAAATGTGAAAACTGAGATTTTGGAAAAGTACCTTGGCTAAGGTCTGAAGCAAAAAATATATATATTTGCCGTATTACAAAGTTTTACTTACATAAAAATTGCACACAAGAGTAGGCTTAAAAAAGTGATAAGACAGAATTTGGGTATCTCATTAAAAAAAATGGCGGCCACTTCCGCATGATGGGGTAATAAGGGCCACCCCCCAGTTTAATAAGGGACACCCCTAAACATGCATTTACAGTAGAACCTCAGCTAGCAAAGGCTCAAATTAACCAAAAAATCAATTAACAACAAAAAATTTTGATTACATTTACCTCACATAGCAAAAAAAAAATTTAATTCAACAAAAAATTAATGCATCTTTGGTCATCACAAAAAGTGCATAGAATGTCATAGATAGAATTGTGCAATGGGCAACATAGAATGAAAACTAATTAACCTAAACTATGATTTATTTCTCCAAAAATATTATGGTTGTCATTAAAATATTCCTTCCTGTTTCAGGTATGCTTTTTATCTTTTTTTTTTTTTGTTATAGTGAATTCACTTGACCCAATTAAAATGGTGTGAAATTACAAGCTGTCCTATAAGCTTACAGATACAGAAGAAATGCTACATGGCTGCTGATATGAAGCTTGCAGTGGATAAGGTCATTGTAAATGCACAATGGCATGTCCTTGGATATGGTAATATCATCCCAATAATGGAAAAACAAGTGAAAAAAAACACAGAAAATGTCATTTATTCTACATCTACATCATCAACAAAGGAGGAGGAGGACTTTAGAGCACTGTTAGTAATGGATGAGTACACTTTGCATGCTTCAAACTTCTTAATATCAAATTTCATTTCAAGTGTCCTGGATTACCCCATTCCCAGGGGAAATTCGGGATGCTTTTATTCTGCATCTGGCACCTCACGAATAGCATAAGGAAATTTTTTGGAGATGCCATTTGATAGCCCTTGCAAAGAGCTTTAAAATGAGCTCAAACTTGTTTATGAAATTATATAGTCAATGGAGTCTTTGAAACAACAAAATACTTAGAATTGAAATATTTCAAAGATTGGGAGGATAAAAAAAAATTCATAAGAAAAGCTCATTTTTTGACATGAAAATCTAAATATATTTTAAACCTTCATCAGAAATTATTTAAATGTTAATTACTTGAACTGAATATGCAGTATATTAAAGGCATTAACACTACAATGTTGATTCCAGTTCATTACAACATCAAACAAAGAGATTGCTACTCGCTAGTGATGCCTCAAAATTAGTGGCTTATGAAGCTTCTTGAATTGGCCCTTTTCACTTAGCATATAAAACAATCAATATTTAGTATTATATTTACCAAATTACCAGTAATAATTTTAATATGAGACAGTTGGCAAGTGTGTATTGAAATGTCTTCCACATTGGAAACTGGAATTCTGTTAACACACAAAAGAAAATAATATACATTGTAGGTACAGCTGGGCACATGCCTTCATTACATAAACAGCAAAGTGAGTTTGACCCATCAAATCACTTACAGCTACGCAGTGTGCATCATGGTAAACCATTATTAGTGGCTAGATTTGTTATTAAATCATAAATATTAATTTGCTGTGTTAAGCTTGGAGAGGAATTGCTAATGAATTAATATTTAGTCTAATTGAATTCTTAAACTTAATAGTGTTGCAACCTCCATTCTTGATTCTTTCAAATGCAACTACTTTAATCCCTCCTATTTTTATTCTTTCCATCTTAACTAAATTTTTTTTTTTTCAAAAAAGGAGAGGAGGTGGACCAAAAATAATATATGAACCATAATTTTAAGAATTACATCCTGATGAAAGGTTGTGTTTCTTTTGACACCAGTGTTATACGGTGATATTCTATTGCAGTGTCAGGCTGTCAGCTTCTAAAATTACAGAATCACCAATTCTTCACTGCATTTGATTGATCCATTGTTTGCTACATATTCTGCACTTCAGCACCTTCAGTTTTTGAGTGTGACCCAGAGGTGGAAGTGTGTTAAATATTGATTATAAGATTTGTAGCTGACAAAATTATTTTTTCAATCGTTTTGAATAAAAAATTTTTTTTTGTAAATTTTCAAAATTATTTAGGTATTCTGTCAATTGATTCATGCATTGTCTCCAACTTTATGATGCAAGCATGCAAAATTTCAGATAGATTGGAGAAGTAAAAGTGTGTTAAATATTGATTATAAGATTTGTAGCAGACAAACAAACATCAAGAAGTAAAGTTTAAGAGAACTTAGAGAAGTGCTAGTGTTGTAATAAAAATCTGGGTTTTGTTACCATGATTGTACCTCAGTGTCTTTGCTCTTTGGTGCCCCAAAATCAGCTTCCTCAAGGCTCAATCCTCTATCTATGTTATGCCATTTTTCACACTTCACAGCCTAGATATCAACCATCTATGATCTATCTAGTGCATTCCAAGTGGAAATTAGGCAGTTAAATCACCAATGAATTAGACAAAAGCCAATAGGGTAAATGCGGTATATTCCGACATCGTAGGTAATTCCGTCACCTCTCCAGCTTTTCCTTTATATTAAGCTTTGTTTTAGTTCCATGCGTTCATTGATGGTTGAAATGGTGACGTCATACATTTGCGTGTCGAAATACTGCAAAAACACTAGGTCTTGGCCATCTAGTGGGAAAATACCTATTGAGATCCAAAGAGAGACAATGCATGCCACGTGGTGAGATCATCGAAAAATGTATCAAATTTGACAGTTGACATGGCTCTACCAAATAGTGAATAACTGTTTTTATAGGAAGAATATTATGGTTTGAGACTTTTAAATACGTCTGTGAATATATTAGGAATCCTTTAAGTATACTTGTATTCGCTGATTTCAAGTCGTAAATAAATTAATAGATGATTAAGTTGAGATGTTGGATTTTGACACATGAAAACTAATTCCGACACAACTTGAATTGGACACACACAGATCGTTCAAAGCTTTGTACAAAAATTGAAATTTGCTTAATTAAAAGCCTAATAGCTGTTAATTAAAACGTAATTAAGTAGTGTTCAATATTCGTTAGTGTTCTAATTCAAAGCCGTGTTGTATCCCAATACAGCTCACACAGCAAACGGAATTCGAACACGTGGATGTCGGCAATACGGATCAGTTAAATTTGAAGCGCTGACGCAATACGACTCACCACGTGTCGGATGTTGCCACACAAAATGACGGAATATAGGGATTTGGTAGGTTTCCATTCTAAAGGCTTTTTAATAAATATGGCAACATTTTGTGACGTTTCATCATTGCTGACGCGTAGTGAAGTGTTTTGAGAGTCATGTGAAGGCAACAGAACTTACGTAACGCATACGGTTTTTTTTTTATAGTTTTTCATTTTTCGATGCGTCCTTAAAGTGTCGGAATATACCGCGTTTACCCTACCTAGCCTAGATGTGAAGGGAAATTTTAGAAAACTTCTGTCCAATATTCCAAATTAGATTTAAATAATATGATTGTTTATTGATATACTCATATAGCCTATCAATCCTATCTTATTTATTTTTTTGGACATGATTGTTGAATGATTGTATACTGATTCATTGAGTGACTCAATGAATCAGTATAATTATATATAATATGAACATGAACTATGAAGAGCTGAATTGATCAGGAAAACAGGAATGATCAATGACATTGACCATTCCTGTTTCCCTGATAAACTTAGCTCTTCATGTTATTATATACCTCTTCCCATATTTTTGAGAGGTTCAAGAGTATATACCAAGTGGCAATTTCCAAGGGCAACTTGGCAATTCATCTAAATGATTATTGATCAAAGTGAGCTAGCCTACCTAAACTAAACATATCCACTTTGAATTTAAACAATATTCACTTACAGCAGTAGATCCTTTTTTAACAGCTTCTTGTGCATATTCAACTTGAAAAAGATGTCCATCTGGACTGAAAACAGTTATAGCACGATCGTAACTTCCCGACATTTTGAAAACTTATGGCAGCGTTGACCTGTCTGCGGTAACCCTCAGTCTCTACAACAAAATTATTTCAACAAACCGCAAACTCACGCTTCCATACTTTCCAACAGATCCGTTCCCTATCTCAGTCGATTCTTCCAATTTCAAAAAACTAAAAATATGTTGGAATGATTAGGTAGGCCATTACATTTATTTCAGAAATCATGTGAATGGTCTGATTACGGAGTAAGATATCGTTTTAGTTGACTCACTTAATTTTATTTTTTATTTTTTCACTTCACCGCAATATCAACTGAACCGCCATTTCAACAGTTCACTGTTCCTTTAGCCAGTTCACGATGAACTTACCGTCTTTAACATGATGTAATACGATAATTGAGTATTCGTGCAAGTTTATAAAGATATCTTACAAAAATTTTTGTTGATCAATGACACATATCAATGACACTCTCGTTAGATAATATATCACGGCTCATCAAAGTTTGCATTATAAGAATTTAAGTGTGATCTAGAAATCTCATGAAGTCTAGAAACTTTCAAAGAATATATCCTCAGAATAAAATCTTAGCATCAGACAAAATTAATTAAATCTCGGACAGTTTTTAGGCCGATTTCAAGCTTTTGCTACGGTAGTTTTACTGTGAGCCTGAGGCTGAAGTACTCTTATAACGCCAACTGCTCAACACAGTAACTCGCTAATGTAGCCGAAATCGTGAAAAATATCCCTACTGCAAACTGATTGTCACATATTTGTAAATGCATGTGCAAAGTTTCATCGAGTTGCATATATTTTATTTTGATAATTTAAACGCACTGTGTACCTGAAAAATCTTACGAGACCAGCCGCTTGACGTGCCCGAAATTTGTTCAAGAGTTGAAACAGGAATCGAACTGAAACTATTATGTAAATATATTGTTCGCATATTTGTTACTTTTCCTACTTTACTCATCAAGACTCAACTCCTGCCATCCTTATGTCTCTCGGCTTCCATGCGATGCATTAGCATGTCTTTAGTTGTTTCGCGCATCTTCCGTTGCATTAGCGCGTTAGTTAGTTGCATTAGTTTTCTCAAAAGCTAAACAATTCGGCGAGTCCTTGTTTCACAATTTTCCGCAAATTCCTGCGGCAGGATTCAGAGTGTAATTATCTGTCGACGATTTGGATCAACAATAAGAACCTGGTGACTTGCAACTGTCACTAGAATGTTTACCTTGACAGATATATCAGGCTGGTGGGTGCCTTTATCAACACAGGTATTTGACCCAACAATAAAAAATAGGATTTTATGTTATTCCGTACTCCATCAGCAATAGTAATAGTTATGGTGGTGTGACAGCGTTCATTAGACAAAATATGACCTGTGACTGATTCTTGACTTTGCAAAATTCTTACAATTAGCTAGGCTATGAACTAGAAAATAACTGCTCTAATTTTGCTTTCGTAAATCGTCCGGTCACTCGCCGATTTGACAAGCAGAACTGTTACCGGAAACTAAGATCGAGCCCACAAGTTGTCGCTCCAATAGCGGTACTCTCACACAAATTTTTCACAGCGAACTAAGGCTCTAAACTGCAACTCATTGTTCAAGTCTTGCAGCTCTTCATCGCCTCCGGTTAACTCGCCGATTAAAAAAAATCACTGTTAACCGTGACTTTATCCCGCAACATAGGGCTCCAATTTCACTTAGTTTAACCACTCGACCAAACCAACGAGCAAATGCTTTTGGAAACTTATGGCTGATTTACACTGACATAAAATTACGTCAAGATTGGTATTCTAAGTAAACTCAAGGTCTTTAGAGACGCTAAACTGAGCCCATAATGCAGTTTAACTTCTATGTAGATGAGGACAACAAAGTTTGAGGACAATTTACGTACATTATTACAATAATAATTTTGCGGATGTTCAGGGTGAGATTTAAAAATGTTATAAATTTCGTGAAATAATCAAGCCACGATGCAACATTTTTTGAAATTTATCTGACATTTGGTTTGCGAGTTGAAAACGTAAACCTGCAAATCGCATGGTCGGACTATTTTTCGGCGTAATGAGGAAAAATATGCGACAAGTTATTCATCTGGAATGTTATTACGAGGGCAAATAAAAAGTTTATTTGATGTCTGTTATCTAATTTCCTAATGAATATGAACTACAATCAAATCACCTGTACAACCAGGAAAATGATTCGTACTCAAAAATTGACTGTGAGAAACTGGTCGGAGATATGGTGATGGCTAGGTATGATGAACTATTTTAAACTCTCATAAAACGCTTGAGAGTGGTGCACAGATGAAAGGTGTGTATCTGGGTTTGCATCATCAATGCTTCCCATATAATCGAATCTGCAATTATATATGCACATTAAATTGCTTAAAAATATAAGCTGATGCATATGGATGGATGGGTATATATGGGGAAAGTTCTCGAATTAAAGTTGAAGGGAGTTGAATGTGATTTCTTTTCACCCATTAGAACTATGATTGCAACTAATATTGAGGATTGATATTATGAAACTCTATAACATTTAGGGTATTTTTAAACTTGTTAGGGTGAAATTGACATGCAACTCGTGTTTGTGGAGTAGCAAATTTCAGTTGGTGAGTTTAGCTTAGTGAAACTGGCAGAGTAACGCCAGGCATGGTCGTGTTTGGTGGTTGCTTGTGTAGTCTTCGTGTGTGCTCTGTAGTTTACCAATGCAGAAAATACATCAGTGTCGTTTATCTTACCCCCTGTCGACCATTTCTGATTGTAAATTTTCACCTCTGTTAATACACGTCCTTTTATTCGTTATCAATTGCTACTTGTTGAAAGTAATTGAAATCCTTGGTAATAGGACCTTCAAGAAAGAGGCTAGTTTTGTGATAGGAAGGAAGATCTGCCAGTCGTGGCACTACGTGTGTCGCTCTCTGAGATTCTCATTGATAGTTGATACCAGTGGGACTCTGAAGAGTTCGATTTTGCAACAAAATTTGAAACTTCTGGTGTATATGAAATATTAACTTGTCGCTCTAAAACATACTGAAAGTTTTTCAGTTAGAAGATAAAATGTTTTTATACGTAGCATTCGTTATTTGAGCGAAAGAGTTCCAAAGCCACTGGTTGCCAGATACCCGTGAGTAGTTTACAAGTTAATGCAGCGGCGGACAAAATTTTTACGCGAGAAAAAGCTTAATTTGTTTCCGATAGCCTGTCTACGCGTTAGCTGTGCGTTTGTTGAATATTACGGCAATGAGCTAATGTGTGACGCTCCGACATTCTGATGTTAAGTGTCAAGTCTGTGACCTTGCTGAATGTCTCGCAACGTCCCCGGGGGCCGCAAGCATTTGCAGTTCCATTGTGCCAGCCACGTGCAGGTCCTTACCGTGACAGCACCGTGCAGGTCCTTACCGTGACAGGACCGTGCTAGCCACGGGCCCACGTGCAGGTCCTTACCGTGACAGGACCGTGCTAGCCACGTGCAGGTCCTTACCGTGACAGCAAAGTGCCAGACACGTGCAGGTCCTTACCGTGACAGCACCGTGCCAGACTGGCAGACACGTGCAGGTCCTTACCGTGACAGCACTGTGCCAGACACGTGCAGGTCCTTACCGTGACAGCACCGTGCCAGACACATGTAGGTACTTACCATGACAGCACTGTGCCAGCCACGTGCAGGTCCTTACCGTGACAGCACTGTGCCAGACACGTGCAGGTACTTACCATGACAGCACTGTGCCAGCCACGTGCAGGTCCTTACCGTGACAGCACTGTGCCAGACATGTGCAGGTCCTTACCGTGACAGCACCATGCCATGACAGCACCATGCCTTGAGCCCATGACAGCTAATATGACCTTCGGTCGAGAAAGAAACGCACAACAAAGAAAAGAAAGTTTTCCTTGACCGAAGCAGTGAACCGTGCAGCCGTGAGGCCACTTGACCGAAGCAGTGAACCGTGCAGCTGTGAGGCCACTTGACCTAAGCAGTGAACCGTGCAGCCGTGAAGCCACTTGACCAAAGCAGTGAACCGTGCAGCCATGAGGCCACTTGACCAAAGCAGTGAACCGTGCAGCTGTGAGCCCACTTGACCAAAGCAGTGAACCGTGCAGCTATGAGGCCACTTGACCATAGCAGTGAACCGTGCAGCTGTGAGGCCACTTGACGTGCTCTGGCCTCTGTTGGCTTCTCTTGGTTTGTGTCGGCCTCTCTTGGTCTGTGTTGGCCTCTCTTGCTCAGTGTTGGCGCCTCTGTGTGCCTCGCAACACCTTCCTCTGCACATGCTGCTGCGGATGCGACGATAAGTGCCATCAGGGCCCCATCGCTCCACACGGATCGTTCAGTTCACTTATGCCTCAATTCTTCAGTTCACTTATGCCTCAATCCTTCAGTTCACTTATGCCTCAATGCTTGGTTCCTTGTTCTTCGCAAAACTTTGGCGCCTCCAATTATTCAGTTCAGGTATTCAAGTTTACTAAATTAAGGTTTTATTTTGATCGTTTATCACGGCTAGGCGGGATCACCAAAATGTCCTGGTGTTGACGCGCTCAGTTCCTCGCTTCGTATCAGCCTTACTTTGCTAGAATTTCGCTTGTTCATTTTTATATAACAGCGACTCCTATGAATTTTTCTATGCTACTACTGAGATCCTTCGAATTTTACAGGGACTTTTTGCTCCCATAGAGTAACGAATAAAGTTCTGTTTTTCAATCAATGGCGAAGTGTGCGTGTATATTTCGAATCTCTTGTGTGACTGACCTGTAGCGCTGGAAGTGTCAAGACTGCAGCATAATCCTGTTATTAGGGTTGAGGAAAGACTGCAGCATAATCCTGTTATTAGGGTTGAAACAAGACTGCACAATAATCCTGTTATTAGGGTTGAGACACGACTGCAGCATAATCCTGTTATTAGGGTTGAGGAAAGACTGCAGCATAATACTGTTAGTAGGGTTGAAACAAGACTGCACAATAATCCTGTTATTAGGGTTGAGACAAGAAGTTAGGTTTGGTTCGTAGCATGGGAAGCATGACGCGAGACAACGCAGCGAGCAACCCTCCTCCAGGCTTCCTGCCACTGGACCCTGAGGACCCTGTAGTGGCGGCCCTCTTCCACCACGGCGACATTGAGGACGACTACGACATTGAGAGAGAACCCATTGCCAGGTTAGTGTCGCTTTATGTTATAATTAATCTGCAACTTTTTGAACGAATGGTTCATTTTCAATATGTATGTATTGACACTTTGAGCGCATACTTTAGTTAGGTGTGGACCTTCTCGGGCTTCTTTCAAAATCTATTCAGCTCAATATTTACTTTTTGCGGCATCCAAGTTTGCGAACGAAGCTTTCGTCCCAAGACCTTCTTCTGTACAGATGCGTGGCTATCTTGTAACCCTGCGTGCGAGTTCACGTCTTGTCGTAATCCTGCGTGTGAGTTCAAGTCTTGTCGTAACTATGCGTGCGAGTTCAAGTCTTGTCGTAACCCTGCGTGCGAGTTCAAGTCTTGTCGTAACCCTGCGTGTGAGTTCAAGTCTTGTCGTAACCCTGCGTGCGAGTTCACGTCTTGTCGTAACCCTGCGTATGAGTTCACGTCTTGTCGTAACCCTGCGTGCGAGTTCAAGTCTTGTCGTAACCCTGCGTGCGAGTTCACGTCTTGTCGTAACCCTGCGTGTGAGTTCAAGACAGGCGTTCCGCAACACAAAGTTAGCGTTGGGGTTGGTTAGGGTTGTCCCTGTAGTTTTGACATATACGCAACTTGAAAGGATGGATTTTGCTGTAATGACAATTGGTAAGCTTCAGGTTGCGTGTGGTGGTATGACGGAAATTCTGAGCAAAAGTTAAACCTAATCTCTTGTCTTCTCATCTCCAAGCAATTCATGGTCTTTCCTTTCCCAACTTATATTCTGATGTGCTTTCATTTTGCCTTGTGCAATTTTTCTTGTGTCAATCAAGACTCGCGACTCTGTCCGTGAGTGTGCTACTGCTGCTGGGTTTGGTTAGCATTTCGTGCGGTCTGTAATTTTACGTTCGGCACGCTCTGTAGCTCTACGTTCATCTAAGTTTATTTGTAGTTTGTAATTCGGCGCATCTAACGTATAAGAACCAATGAGACAGATTCCTAAGCACCAGTAAGGCACTATGCTTGAATCATATTTTTTTTTCTTGAGACTTGATGTGTGAGTGGATTCATTCAATCTTCACCACGTTTGCTGAAAAATATCGGGCGTTGGACGCATTGCGTTCGCTGGCAGCTTTGGAAACCCTCGTTGCTGGCTCTGCCGAGAGCAGCAGTCAATGGATCGGATGTCGCCAGAGCGTCTCAGGTTGCTTGTTTTAGTGCATTCTTTTATTGCCACGGAGTGGGGAAGTTTAGGCTTCATTGCCGCTTTTTGTTGAAATGTGAGGAGCAAGTTTGTCTACTCTCAGCTTGTGTACAGGACGTCCTCGCGGACAGGGATCGCCGCTGAGGTTAGGTTTAGACTCTCGGGGCCTACAAATGTTCCCGATGAGATGACTATATATGTATACCAACGCTGCTGGATAATCCGAACTCAGCGGAAGTTGTTCAACAGTTTGTAGTACAGAAGTTGTGAATATTAATTTAAGGTTATAAAAATTTAGTAAGGTAAATAAAAACTGATAAAAGGAATTCATGATAGAAGTGCTTGTCGAACGAGTGCCGTATTAGTCTTATACGAGTGCCTTATAAATCTCGTGAGGGGCTGTTGTGAGTGTTGAGCAGGTTTCCATTGCGTCCTGTAGGGTGGGGCGATGTAGTGCGTGTAGGGGTGGGGCGATGTAGTGCGTGTAGGGGTGGGGCGATGTAGTGCTTAGTGCGTGTAGGGGTGGGGCGCTCTAACAAGGCTCTTCCTGCCGCTGTTGCTGTAGGCCAGTGTACGGTGTAGGGCAGGCGTCCGTCTCGTCCTTCCTCTCCTGTGACACTTGAGGCTCTGAGACCAGCGCGCCCCCAGGCAGGCTCGGCTGGTGGCCTATGGGATTCTATCATCGTTCCTTAGTATCCTTAGCACTACGTGTAGTCATTATAATTTTATTCGTAAATGGAATATTAATCTGAATTTTTTCATGCTTATTCAGCTATTTGTTGACTATTTATTTACCGTAATAAAAAATGTGTACATTTTTTATAACATCAGTTATGATATAGGAAATTGTTGTATATCGATGTTCATTATGCAATGCGACTTACCTAAATTTATGAGACACCAGCAAGTAGATAGGTACTATTGATTAGACACTGCGTGATATTCGGCAGCTAGAAGACGAGTTCCTACAGCAACATAAAATAAGAACCTCTACATGACTATGCCCATGTCGTAACCTCTACATGACTATGCCCATGTCGACGTTGAGTCACATCCTTGCCCTCAATTCTGCTCATTGCGAGGCTTACTTCCATAAATCTCTTCAGTGTTTTGCAAATGCAACACTTCTCATGAATGTATTTATTTGATACTTGCTTTAGCTGTTTATTACATTAGCACAACGCATCCTGCGGACAACAATGTTCTATATGTGGCTATAATATTAGACTGTTAGTTGCTGCCTGCCGAGCTCCAGGCTTATAGCACCAACGCTGGCGAGCCTCATCGCCTCTGATCATCGCGCACTCTGTCGAGAGTGCGAAGTTTGCGTTCAACTTCATGTGATGATTGCGTGCATTGCGTGTAGCACGCAGTGTGTTGCTGCCCTATGCGGCCTGCGTGCATTGCGTGTAGCACGCAGTGTGTTGCTGCCCTGTACGGCCTGCGTGCATTGCGTATAGCACGCAGTGTGTTGCTGCCCTGTACGGCCTGCGTGCATTGCGTGTAGCACGNGAGCCGTGAGCCGAAGAGTTGCCGGCGTTGAGCCGTGAGCCGAAGAGTTGCCGGCGTTGAGCCGTGAGCCGAAGAGTTGCCGGCGTTGAGCCATGAGCCGAAGAGTTGCCGGCGTTGAGCCGTGAGCCGAAGAGTTGCCGGCGTTGAGCCATGAGCCGAAGAGTTGCCGGCGTTGAGCCGTGAGCCGAAGAGTTGCCGGCGTTGAGCCATGAGCCGAAGAGTTGCCGGCATTGAGCCGTGAGCCGGCGAGTTGCCGGCGTTGAGCCGTGACCCGGAGATTTGTTTGTGGCGTTTGTTGTCGTGTTGTGGCCCGAGATGTTAAAGTTTGGTTTTGTTGTCGAGCGTCTCTGCACGGTTCCGCTGAATTGCCGAGCCAGACATCACCACTGCCTTCTTGCCAGAGACTTTGCCACTGACACCTTGTCAGAGGCATCGCCACTGCCACCTTGCTACAGGCATCACCACTGCCACCTTGCCACATGGATCACTACTGTAGAAGAATTGAAATCAGCTAAGTTTTCCTGAAAATTGTCAAGACCCGGCCTCGTGATTTTTTTTTCAAGAAGATAGTGAATTTAATGTCTGGTCTTTATCAAGTATTACTTTTTTTAAAATGTAATTGTAGACATTTCTTTGCTCCAACTTAACTTCCAAAATGCTGCTTAATTGAGACTTTATCTTGTATAGGTGTCATGTCCTCAGTTGAGACGTTATCTTGTATAGGTGTCATGTCCTCAGTTGAGACGTTATCTTGTATAGGTGTCATCTCCTCAGTTGAGACGTTATCTTGTATACCTAGGTGTTATGTCCTCAGTCGAAACAGGAACTTATAAAGGTGTTATGTCGTCAGTCGAGACGTGTACTTTTAGAGGTGTTATTTTCTCAGTCGAATTAGGAACTTATAAAGGTGTCATCGCTTCAGTCAAGACGGCATTCATGCGTGTCTGGCCGTCAATGGAGCCTTGAAACTAAACCTGTGCTGTTAATTTGTTCTGGTGGAGCTTCTCCGTTCCGGTGGTTACGTGCGCCGAGACCCTATACCAAATGCGTGGAAGATTGCATTGTCTTTAGTTGCCGTGCTCTTGGGACTGCCAGGAAAATTGTTTTTATTTCAGCTGAAATATGCATAGAACTCTAACCGAACTTACTGCTATGTTTATTGAAGCTTTGGGCAAATGTTTATTAGAGCTTCGGTGAAGCAAGTCTGTTTGGCTCGGTGTGATGATGACATTTGCGGTGACACGTTATATAACTCGTCTGTTATACTAGCTGTGCACGCGTGTGGCGGTTGATCCTCGCGATACTGAACATTATTCGTCGTTTTTTGGGAGTAAGTAGTCTATTTCTCTTACTTTAATAATGAAATATTTATCTTTGTCCAGCTTGTATATTGAATGGTGAGAGCGATAGTTGCTTGCTTAACAAGCTTAGTTCATTGGTGCTTCTCCATGAACAAGCGAACAAAGGAAGCCCTGCTGTTCCCACGAGAGCTTGCGGTCACCCGCCTATTGCCCACCTCTTGACAGCCTCTTGTCTACCTCTTGATTTTATTTTTTTTTCAAATGTGGTGCAAAAAGCCGTACGCGGGCCGCTATTGTCGCACGGAAGCCTTTTAATTGGTGCGGGTTTAGACGTTCCTTAATTAATTTTGGGAGATTAATGCGCGTAAATTATACTGATTTTCAATTATTGACCGAAAGCACCTCATTTCAAGTTAAAAATGCGGGCGTCAAGAAAAGTTAGTCAACACGCGCTCCAAGTTCCGTTTAAATTGAATGAACTCCTGACTTAGTCAATATAGCTGCCGGGCGCGGCGTCCGAGGTGCACGCAAAGGTCTGTTGGCGCGGCGATGTCGTTAGGTTTACTTGACCTGCCAGGCTGGCACGCTGCCTCGCCGCTCACCTCATCGCCAATTACCAGCCAGCACTGCCAGCTCCTTGTGCTGGTAACTGCCGCTCCTTGTGCTGGTAATGCCGGCCGAGAATGCGCATAGCTCTGAGCCTGTCTCTTATACACATCTAGATGTGTATAAGAGACNGCACTGCGGTGCAGACGACGAGGCAGCACTGCACTGCGGTGCAGACGACAAGGCAGCACTGCACTGCGGTGCAGACGACCTTATCTAGATGACCCGCACCATTAAGACTTATTAATTCCCGGTTGCGGGTGCCGGCGCTGCAACTGCGCGTCGTGGCAAGACTCGTAAGTCAGCCACCGGCGCCCTAATTGGCGGGATCTGCGTCAGGGCCTCTGCAAACTGCTGCTCTCTGTGCACTGCGCCGCTCACAGAGACATGTGAAGTGCGGTCACGTCATCAATGCAGCGCTT